TCCTCCCTCCTCTCTCTCTCTTCCTCCTCCCCCCCCTCTCTCTCTTCCTCTCTCTCTCCTCTCTCTCTTCTCTTCCCCCCTCTCTCTCTTCCCTCCTCCTCTCTCTCTCTCTTCCTCCTCCCCTCTCTCTCTTCCTCCTCCTCTCTCTCTCTTCCTCCTCCCCCTCTCTCTCTCTTCCTCCTCCCCTCTCTCTCTCTTCCTCCTCCCCTCTCTCTCTTCCTCTCCCCCTCTCTCTTCCTCCTCCCCTCTCTCTCTTCCTCTCCCTCTCTCTCTCTCTTCTTCCTCCTCCTCTCTCTCTCTCTTCCTCCTCCCCTCTCTCTTCCTCCTCCCCCTCTCTCTCTCTTCCTCCTCCCCTCTCTCTCTTCCTCCTCCCCCTCTCTCTCTCTTCCCTCCCTCCCCCTCTCTCTCTTCCCTCCTCCCCTCCTCTCTCTCTCTTCCTCCTCCCCCTCTCTCTCTTCCTCCTCCCCTCCTCTCTCTTTCCTCCTCCCCCCTCTCTCTCTCTCTTCCTCCTCCCCCTCTCTCTCTTCCTCCTCCCTCTCTCTCTCTCTTCCTCCTCCCCTCTCTCTCTTCCTCCTCCCCCCTCTCTCTCTCTTCCTCCTCCCTCTCTCCCCCTCTCTCTTCCTCCTCCCCCCTCTCTCTCTTCCTCCTCCCTCTCTCTCTCTCTTCCTCCTCCCCCTCTCTCTCTTCCCTCCCCTCTCTCTCTCTCTCTCTTCCTCCTCCCCCCCTCTCTCTCTTCCTCCTCCCCTCTCTCTCTCTCTTCCTCCTCCCCCTCTCTCTCTTCCTCCTCCTCTCCTCTCTCTTCCTCCTCTCTCTCTCTTCCTCCTCCCCTCTCTCCTCTTTCTCTCTCTCTCTTCCTCCTCCCCTCTCTCTCTTCCTCCTCCCCTCCTCCCTCTCTCTCTCTCTTCCTCCTCCCCCCTCTCTCTCTTCCTCCTCCCTCTCTCTCTCTCTTCCTCCCTCCCCCCTCTCTCTCTTCCCCCTCCCCTCTCTCTCTCTCTCTCTTCCTCCTCCTCTCTCTCTTTCCTCCTCTCTCTCTCTCTTCTCCTCCCTCTCTCTCTCTCTCTTCTCCTCCCCCCTCTCTCTCTCTCTTCCTCCTCCCTCTCTCTCTCTTCCCTCCTCCCCCTCTCTTCCTCCTCCCTCTCTCTCTCTTCCTCCTCCTCTCTCTCTCTTCCTCCTCCCTCTCTCTCTCTCTTCCTCCCTCCCCCTCTCTCTTCTCCTCCTCTCTCTCTCTCCTCCTCCCTCCTCCCTCTCTCTCTCTCTTCCTCCTCCCCCCTCTTCCTCCTCCCCTCTCTCTCTCCCCTCCTCCTCTCTCTCTCTCTTCCTCCTCCCCCCTCTCTCTCTTCCTCCTCCCCCTCTCTCTCTCCCCTCCTCCCCCTCTCTCTCTCTCTCTTCCTCCTCCCTCTCTCTCTCTCTTCTTCCTCCTCCCTCTCTCTCTCTCTTCCCTCCTCCTCTCTCCTCCCCCCTCTCTCTCTTCCTCCTCCCCTCTCTCTCTCTCTTCCTCCTCCCCCCCTCTCTCTCTTCCTCCTCCTCTCTCTCTCTCTTCTCCTCCTCTCTCCTCCTTCCTCCTCCCTCTCTCTCTCTCTCTTCCTCTCTCTCTCTTCCTCCTCTCTCTTCCTCCTCCCCTCTCTCTCTTCCTCCTCCCCCCTCTCTCTCTTCCTCCTCCCCCCTCTCTCTCTCTTCCTCCTCCTCTCTCTCTCTTCCTCCTCCTCTCTCTCTCTCTTCTTCCTCCTCTCTCTCTCTCTTCCTCTCTCTCCCCTCTCCCCTCTCTCTCTCTCTTCCTCTCCCCCTCTCCCCCTCTCTCTTCCTCCTCCCTCTCTCTCTCTCTTCCTCCTCCCCCCTCTCTCTCTCTTCCTCCTCCCCCTCTCTCTTCCTCCTCCCCCCTCTCTCTTCCTCCTCCCCTCTCTCTCTCTTCCTCCTCCCCTCTCTCTCTTCCTCCTCCCTCTCTCTCTCTCTCTTCCTCCTCCCCCTCTCTCTCTTCCTCCCCTTCCCCTCTCTCTCTCTTCCTCCTTCCTCTCTCTCTTCCTCCTCCCCCTCTCTCTCTTCTCCTCCTCTCTCTCTTCCTCCTCCCCCTCTCTCTTCCTCCTCCCCTCTCTCTCTCTTCCTCCTCCCCTCTCTCTTCCTCCTTCCCTCTCTCTCTCTTCCTCCTCCCCCCTCTCTCTCTTCCTCCTCCCCTCTCTCCCCTTCCTCCTCCCTCTCTCTCTCTTCCTCCTCCCCCCCCCTCTCTCTCTTCCTCCTTCCTCTCTCTCCTTCCTCCTCCCCCTCTCTCTTCCTCCTCCCCCCTCTCTCTTCCTCCTTCCCCTCTCTCTCTCCTTCACCTTCAGAATGACAGTTAGTAAACAAATACACATTGCCACTCAAAGCACCTCGCCACACCTTGAACTATGCAATCCCATCTGGATACCGTGTGTGAGCTGCACACACTAAAGTCTGCCGTATCTTGTGTGCGCGATTGTGATTGTGATTGTTCATATTTCAGTAATCTATAATCCTGTGGTACGCTTCTCTTTCTTCTGTTCTTCCTTCCATTATTCCATTTTACTTTAAGTCTGTTTATCAGGGTTTTCTCCTGTTTTCTGTTTCTCTGTTGTCACTTAATTAAACACTATAATGGTTAATACAGTTACAGATTTGGGCTATTGTATTGTAGTTGTTATTCTCCGTACGATGATGTGATCACAATAGTGTGAATACTGTCCTCCCCCTCCTCTTCATATTCCTACTCCTACTATTACATTTTTTTAAACGTAGTCTCCAGCCTCCCCCAATAGCCACACCCCCGCCACCATTTTATTACCTTAATATTAAATATCCCAATACAAAGTAGCTACCCTAGCTGAGTTAGCTAAGCCGCAGATCTATGCAGCATTCAGTGAGTGTTGCCTCATAGTCAATATCAGCGACCGTTGTTGGTTTTGGAGCCGAAGATCTCGATCCCTGAGACAAAGCAATGCAGACCTAAGCAGAGGACAATCAACATCTCAACCAAGCTGCAACGTAACTTCTGGGATGCTGCTTCTGTTCGGATAACACCTAGGCCAGTCTTGCGTAGAAGCATCTTGCACTTGGTCCCATACCGCCAGAGGTTGTGAACACTAGAGGAGTGAAGCTGTCTTGATCCACGTTTTGAATTCTCTGCCAATACGCCCTGTTCTTGTCATTCTTGTTGCTCTTGAGTGCAGCATCGAGAGCTAGGTTACGGTGACATGCGGCCATGGGGTCCATCCTAATGTCAAAGAAGGCTCGCTCACCCCGCGTCCAGAATCCTCGAGCACTGACGTCCACACGGGCTTTGTTGGACGTGTTTGAGGTCCTGTGATGGAGATTTTCACCGTCCAATGGAGAGGTCGGTTCCACCGTGACGTCGTGACAGATTTCCTTCAACATATTTACTATGAGATCCCTTACTTCGTCTTGCCTCATGCACATCCCCTTTCTTACCATGGCATCGACCATGGCGTGGTCGATGTCGTAGGAAGGCACACGCATTGGGAATTCTTTTACTAACCAACCATACCTTAGACTACTTAGAGCAACGGCATCTGTGAATTCTTGTTTATTAAGGCTGAAACCTTTTACCCTTATCGGTAACGTTGTTAGCCAGTTCGAGGAGCCGACCTCCTGCGCTATCGCTACTTTTTTTTCACGTTCTCTGACAACTGCAGCATCAGTGTTGAAGCTTATCACTTTGGGTGTGCTGTCGTTCTTTTGTAATAGACCATCGAATCTTGTTTAATTCGTTGGTATCCACCTGACTTGCTGCATTCTGAGATATTATGTGCTCAGTAAGGGGCCGCCGTGAGCTTGACAGAGTTCAGATGTTCGGTGGCAGCAAACTCCTGCATATTAATCAATCCCAATCCTCCCAGTCTCGGTGGTAACGCAGTGACCTTTCTGCCGGGGTTAAGTAATGGCTTTTCACTGGTGTTGGAATAAAAGCGACCTTGATGGTTTCTTCTGAAGGCGGATGAGGTGTCTGATATCAAAGTAACTCCAGCGATGCTCGACTCCATGGGTGAATACCGCAAACGCTGCATTTGGCTCAGTTTTAGCAACATCCGACAGAGCTTGGATTTCCTTCACCCACTCATTTCACTCCATTACGTACTCGGTCTTGAAATCGTTCGTGCCCATTACAGAACCTAGATACTACTACTACTACTACTACCGGACCTAGATACTACTACTACTACTACCACTACTACTACTACTACTACCTGTAATAATAATAATAAGTTATAATAATAAGACTAATAATAACAGCAATATTAACAACTATAACAATAACATCCCTTCATTCATCACTAATACAACACAAACAACGATACAAAAAATAAACTCCCAAATCTCACTGGTAAAAACACCCACCTCTTCAAAACCTCCATGAAAATACACACAAAAAAAGATAAAAACCCGCTCACCTAAAAAACAAAAAAAAACGTAAGGTAATATTAGCATCGTTCAGCCGGGCCAGATCCCCTACCCGCCGCCACCCCTCGCTTACCACCCCAACATCTGCCATTACTCTCATACTCCTTCCTGTGTTTTGATTTTTGTTTCCCTCTAACATGGAAATGATAGAATGTTTACAATTGCCTCTAGGTTAATTATACGGTTCGTTTTATTCAACGGTAAAGAGAAAAACTTATTGTAGTGTTATGAACTGAAGTTGTTTTATATGCCTGAGTCTCTAAAGAAAGCTGGAATGAGTCTCTGAACTACTGGAGTGAGTCTCAGAACTGCTGGAGTGAGTCTCTGAACTACTGGAGTGAGTCTCAGAACTGCTGGAGTGAGTCTCTGAACTGCTGGAGTGAGTGCCTGAACTGCTGGAGTGAGTCTCAGAACTGCTGGAGTGAGTCTCTGACCGGCTGGGGTGAGTACCTGAACTGCTGGAGTGAGTCTCTGAACTGCTGGAGTGAGTGCCTGAACTACTGGAGTGAGTCTCTGAACCTGCTGGAGGAGTCTCCCCAGAACTGCTGGATTTCTCTGAACAGCTGGAATGAGTCTCAGAACTGCTGGAGTGAGCGCCCTGAACTGCTGGAGTGAGTCTCAGAACTACTGAGTGGAGTGCCTGAACTGCTAGGAGTGAGTCTCTGAACTGCTGGAGGAGTGCCTGAACTAGAGTGAGTCTCTGAGCTGCTGGATTTCTGAACAGCTGGAATGAGTCTCAGAACCGCTGAGTGAGTCTCTCGAACTGCTGGAGGAGTGCCTGAACTGCTAGGAGGGAGTCTCTGAACTGCTGGAGTGAGTCTCAGAACTGCTGGATTTCTCTGAACAGCTGGAATGAGCTCCCAGAACTGCTGAGTGAGTCTCTGAACTGTTGGAGTGAGTCTCAGAACTACTGGAGGAGTCTCTGAACTGCTGGAGTGAGTCTCTGGTCTGCTGGAGTGAGTCTCAGAACTGCTGGATTGAGTCTCTGAACAGCTGGAGTGAGTCTCAGAACTGCTGGAGTGAGTCTCTGAACTGCTGGAGTGAGTCTCAGAACTGCTGGAGTGAGTCTCTGAACTACTGGAGTGAGTCTCAGAACTGCTGGAGTGAGTCTCTGAACTGCTGGAGTGAGTGCCTGAACTGCTGGAGTGAGTGCCTGAACTGCTGGAGTGAGTCCCTGAACTGCTGGAGGAGTGCCTGAACTGCTGGAGGAGCCCCAGAACTGCTGAGTGAGTCTCTGAACAGCTGGGGTGAGTACTTGAACCGGTTGGAGGAGGCCTTGAACCAAGGAGAGGAGTTCCCTGAACTGCTGGAGTGAGTCTCAGAACTGCTGGATTGGAGTCTCTGGTAGCTGGAGGAGTCTCAGAACTGCTGAGTGAAAGGCCCTGAACTGCTGGAGGAGTCTCAGAACTGCTGGAGTGAGCTCCCTGAATCCACTGGAGTGAGTCTCAGAACTGCTGGAGGAGTCTCTGAACTGCTGGAGGAGGCCTGAACTGCTGGAGGAGTGCCTGAACTGCTGGAGTGAGTCTCTGAACTGCTGGCGTGAGTGCCTGAACTGCTGGAGGAATTCCTTGAACTGCTGGAGTGAGTGCCTGAATTGCTAGAGTGAGTCTCAGAACTGCTGGATTGAGTCTCTGAACAGCTGGAGTGAGTCTCAGAACTGCTGGAGTGAGTCTCTGAACTGCTGGGGTGAGTCTCAGAACTGCTGGAGTGAGTCTCTGAACAGCTGGAGTGAGGCTCAAAACTGCTGGAGTGAGTCTCAGAACTGCTGGAGTGAGTGTATGAACTACGGGAAGAGTTTGAACTCCTGGGATGAGTCTCTAAACTATTGGAATGAATCCGAACTTCTGAGGTTAGTCTCTGAATAACTGGAGTGAGTCTCTGAACTGCAGGGAATGAGTCTCTATACTGTTCACTTACACATAAAAGACTCTGTAATATCTCCTTCATGTTTGGTACAGTTTCCAACGGTGTCCCTTGGCTGTACACTGTTATCAAGTATAGCTGGTCAGTGTATCCTGCCAGTATTACCAACCAAGAAGGAAGAACAATTTTAAGATAGATTGTCACATTATTCCAAACTGCCCGATATGAACAGTGCAGTAAATGTAGTCGGCACTACAGTCGACCACCCTCACCTCCCCAATTATAAAGTCGGGTATCCATTCACAGCTGAGTCGACTTTGGGTGACCCGGACGCGAACCAACGAACCTTAGGACGGGAAGTGAGTACTGTATCTACTAGCAGTGTTAAGCAGATGTTATTGAGGCCAGAATGCTAGTAGTTTTGACAGGTCTCAGGTGGTGATTTTTTCCTCTAACGAACGAAGACAACGAGGAAGAGAACGACGAAGATAAAGACTTAGATAACAACGAAGGCACCGATAAAGACAATAACGAAAACACTACCGAAGACAATGACAAAATAACAAACACACATAAGAGGAACTTTGTGTTGGTGAATTTAAAATCAAGTGGAGAAGTTTCTGGGCTACCACTAAGTTTTCCCTCTCCCCTCACACCTCCCCCATCCTCCCATTCCCTCACCCCCTCCAATTCCTCCACCAATCACCCCCTGTACCATTCCTCCCTTGCCCCCACCACATCTCCACCATTCACCATCCCCGTCCCATCTAACGCCCTCCACCACCCTGTGCACCATGCCTCCACCCTCTTCCACTACTCCACCCACATCTCACTCCTTCCCTCACCCCCTCTCCCTCCCTCTCCAGGATGATGGCTGTCTGGGTCTAGTTCCACTTAATGGCTAACTTATGGTACCTTGCTAGCGGGTGTTGTTCTTGTTTGCTGGTGTTGTTCCTGTTAGCTGGTGTTGTTCCCGTTAGCTGGTGTTGTTCCCGTTAGCTGGTGTTGTTCCTGTTAGCTGGTGTTGTTCCTGTTAGCTGGTGTTGTTCCCGTTAGCTGGTGTTGTTCCTGTTAGCCGATGTTGTTCCTGTTAGCTAATGTTGTTCCTGTTAACTGATGTTGTTAGCCGGTGTTGTTCCTGTTAGCTGACGGTTACTAAAAGCTACCGTTGAAGAAGATGAAGAAGAAGAGGAGGAGGTGGACATGGATGATGTCATGCAGGAGGAAGACTTGGATGAGGAGGAGGAGGAGGAGGATGAGGAGACGCAAGAAGAAAGAAAGAAGACGAGAGAAAAAAAGATCAATCAGAAGACGAAAAAAAGAAAACAAGAAACAAGGAGAAGAAAAAACATAAGAACAACAACAATATCAACAACAACAATAACAACAAAACAACAACAACAGCAACAACAGAGAGGGTTATATCCAGCACGACACAAATAGTGCTAAACGCGGCAGCTGAGGTACACGTGCCGGCTAACATGTTAATATTGCCCAGTGATTTTAACTTCCCGCTAACTACCGAATCCTAAGAACGTCATGCTAAGTTAAGACCTACTCCTGAGGGGCTGCGGGAGGCGGAGGAATAAGAGGAGGGGCTGCGGGAGGCGGAGGAGCAGGAGGAGGGACTGCGGGAGGCGAAGGAGCAGGAGAATGCAGAGCAGAGGAGGAGGAGGGGGCTGAGAGGCGGAGGAGGAGGAGGAGGGCTGAGAGGCAGGAAGAGCAGGAGGGAGCTGCAGGAGCGGAGGAGAGGGGGCTGCTGGGAGGCGGAGGAGGAGGAGGGAGCTGCAGGCAGGAGGGAGGAAGAGGAGCCGAGAGGAGGCGGAGGAGGGGCTGCAGGAGGCGGAGGAGGAGGAGGAGGGAGCTGCAGGAGGAGGAGGAGAAGGAGGGCTGAGGAGGCGGAGGAGGAGGAGGAGGCTGCAGGAGGCAGAGGAGGAGGAGGAAGGACTGCAGGAGGCCGGAGGAGGAGCTGGGAGGAGGAGAAAGAGGAGGAGAGGAAGAAATAGAGGAGGGCTGATGATGATGAGGATGAGGAGGAGGAGGAAATATAGGAGCAGAAGGGGGAGTAGTAGGAGCAGGAGGAGTAGGAGGCGCTGTGAAAAAAAAAGAGTGGAGGAAGTCGATAAAAAATAAATCGTTAATTTGGTCCTATAAACGAGAAGTTTTTTTTAGGATTTTTGATGGTCTATGTTGGTCTTCAGCGGTCTTTTGGGGTTTGAAGGAGTCTTTGGGGTTCTTTGGATATCTTCTGGGGTCTTAAGAAGTCTTTGGTAGGTCTTTTTGGTGTCCTTTCGGGGTATATGTGGATGGATCTTTAGCAGTTATTTGAAGTCAGAAGGAGTCTTTGGGTTCTTTAGAAGACCTTTTGGGGGTCTTTATGGTGGTCTTTTAGAATATTTCGGGCCTTTTGAGGTTTTTGGGTGTATTTCAGGGTTTGGGTGTCATTGTGGGGGGGTCTTTGGGTGTTTGTTTTTTTGGTGGTCTTTAAGTCATGGGAGTCTCCAGGTGGGGATTTGATGGGTTACTCAGCACAGTTTATATATAATAATCAACACTTCACTACAGTTTACCTTTTGCTGTAATCACTCAAACCGAACCAAACCAAACCAAACCGAGCCAAACCAAACTAAACCAAACCGAACCAAACCAAACCGAACCGAACCGAGCCGAACCGAGCCAAACCAAACTAAACCAAACCGAACCGAACCGAACCGAACCGAGCCAAACCAAACCAAACCAAACCAAACCTAACCAAACCAAATACTCAAAATTCACAACAAAAAACGAAATATTTCAAACCATATATATACTATTTATTTGACGTCTTCGTGATGGTATTAAACTCCTCATAACATAAAACAACAGAAACAACAACAATTTATTTATATTTTTAGTGGATGAGGAGTGGCAGCCAACGAGTCCCTCACCGCATAAAATCCCAGTCAAAGCTAAAACGAGATTTAACATCCAGGTTTACACTGCAGGTGGCTCCCGATGCGTCAGAGAACTCATTAAGTTTTGTATGACTAAGCATTAAATGGCCAGAATTTACACAGCTGGCCCGGGGCTTTGTTCCGTTGAGTTTAATGGACATTGTCGATTCTGAATACCAATCAGTCTCTCTCGCGTCAGGTTTGAGAACTCGCTATACGGAAGTCGGCTTTACATGTGATATTTAACTTAATCTATAATCTACACAGGTTAAATCATCGGCGCCAAAGGATTAAACAATCTTGCTCAAATGGTTAAATCATCTTCCTCAAAGGGTTAAACCATCTTGCTCAAGGGGTTAAACAATCTTCCTCAAAGGGTTAAACCATCTTCCTCAAAGGGTTAAACCATCTTCATCAAAGGGTTCAGCCATCTTCCTCAAAGGGTTCAAACATCTTCCTCAAAGGGTTAAACCATCTTCCTCAAAGGGTTAAACCATCTTCCTCAAAGGGTTAAACCATCTTCATCAAAGGGTTATACTATAGTCTTTAAGGGATTAAACTATATTATTCAAAGAGTTAAACCATCATCTTCAAAAGGTTAAGCCATAGGTGTCAAAGGATTAAACCAACATCATGAAAGGATTAAACCCAAATCATTTAAGGGTTAAAACAAAAATCCCCAAACGGTTAAACCAACATCCTTATCTTACAAATGAGATTGACCTTTATATTGTATGAAGGAGTTCCTAGGTGAGCAGCCAACTGATTGTTCCTTGTCATTAAAGTAGTCTCCTTCATCAACTCACTAAACTTTTCAGGTACACTTTAGTATAAAGAACATCAGCCCTAAAACTAACCTAACCTCACCTAACCTAATCTAATCTAACTTAACCTAACCTAACCTAACTAACCAACCAACCAACCTAATCTAACCCAACCTAACAATCTTCTAACAACCCAAAACACCCCCAATCTAATCTAACTAACCAACAACCCAACAATGAATCTAATCTAACCAACCAACCCAAAACAACCTAACCTCACTAATCACCATCCCACCCAAACTAATCAACTAACTCCTCCACCCAACAACTAACCAACATCAATCAAAACCAACCAATCCATGAGTGAATTAAGATGGTATTAAAATTAGATGAAGAGAGAGGAAGGGAGATAGATGGGCAAATTGGAGGGAGGGGAGGAGGGGAGGAGATAGGATGGCAAATTGGGAGGGAGGGAGGGAGGAGGAGGGAGGAGGGAGGGAGGGAGGGAGGGAAGGGAGATAGATGGCAAAATGGGAGGGAGGGAGGGAAGGGAGATAGATGGCAACTGGAGGAGGAGGAAGGGAGATAGATGGCAAAATTGGGAGGGAGGAGGGAGGGGGAAGGGAGATAGATGGCAAATTGGGAGGGAGGAGGAAGGGAGATAGATGGCAAATTGGGAGGAGGGGAGGAAGGGAGATAGATGGCAAATTAGAGGGAGAGAGGGAGGGAGGAGGGAGGGGAAGGGAGATAGATGGCAAATTGGGAGGGAGGAGGGGAAGGGAGGGAGGAAGGGAGGGAGGAGGGGAGGGGGAGGGAGGTAGGGGGAAGGAAGAGGAGGAGAGAAGTAGAGGGAGGAGAGAAAAGCATGACCACTAACTGGTGATCAAATATCAAATTGTTTTTTCCCTCAGTACAGTTCCAGCTGATATGAACTTTGATGGATGGAAATATATATAATATACTTTTATGTATTTTTCATATATTAAATGTTATAATCTACACTCGTTGTTCTTAAGAAGTCCCATTCGCGGTGGAGGAGGTGAGTCAGTGTCATATCAGGTCAGTAGTCACGCTTATAGGAGCATAGGAGGAGAAAGAGGACGAAAGGAGAAAGGAAATGAATGAGAAAGGAGGGGAGGAGGAGAAGAATGAAGGAGGAAGGAAAGGAGGGAGGAAGAAATAAATATAAATAATAAGAAAAGGAAGCAAGGGAAGGAGAAAGAAGGAAAAAAAAGAAATCTATCAGGAATGAGAGGATAGAGAAGGAAGAAAAAGAAGGAGAAGCTACAAAAGCATGAAGAAACGAAAAAGAGAAAGAGAGGAGAACAGGAAGAAGTGAAGAATAGAGAAAAAAAATCAGGGAGAAAGGAGGAGGAGAAAAGAAGAA